AATAAATGTTTTGATAGATGTTGTTTTATTATTTTCATCTTTTTTTGTGGGAGCTGGAGTAATTTCTACATGTTGTTAGTTAGCTCTGAGCACAGGCAATTTACTAAATAAAATCAGGGCTGACCCAAGATGTTTTGATGCCCAAAGTGGAGCCTCTTCCCTATGTCAAAGGACATAGTATGCTAAGCTACTGTAGTCCTTTTGGCATGTGAGACAGAAAATCTCTGAAACCCACCAACCCCCTTCTCATGGAACCCTTCAGACTGGCTTTTGCCAGCCAGCAAGTGGATTTATTTTTGTTGATTGGTTTGCTTCCAATATGCAAACTCAGCTGCTTTTGTGAGTTCCTGTTTTCTGTGAAGTGTGAGAACCTTTAGTTTTCTTTCTTTCCTTTGGTTTTCAAAGTCTTCAAAGATTGCAACGTTAGCTGTGACTGGAATAATGCAACACTAAATAAAAATCAGTGGTTGGAATTGTGTTGCTGATGAGGAAAATGACCCAACGGTCCTTTTTAGGACTGCAAATGACAACAATTTCTATTAATATAGAGGGCATTTCTTCATCTAAAGAGGAACTCTTAGCTTCACTTTGCGTATGGAAATGGGACATTCTTTGTGACCAAGAAATTCACAGAGAAACTGATCAGTGTCAGTCAAAAGTTCCTGGATAGAGATGGGCATGAACCACTGGTTCAGTGGCTTGGCCTTTGGATGAACATGCCTTCCTAAGTTTAATATGCTATTGTTTCTGAACCTGAGGAATCCATTCTCTCAGTTGTTCTGTGCAGCAAACATGTAGGCATATGGTGCAATTCCAAATAAAGTTAAGCCTGTTTGCAGTCCACAGAAATCACAGAAATCGAGGACCCGTAAGACAGTTGATTTTCAGGGCCTCTAAGCCCAGTTAACTTTATGTGTCAAGGTTATAAAATGTCAGTCTGGTCACAAAAGCATACACTCAGCTAGCAAGGAACATAATGTGGCTACATCCTTTATTGGGGTGTGGGGTTCACGTATGTCAAAAAAATCTCTCAGTTTACATCAGTGGATAATCCACTTACACTAAGTTGTCTGACCATACGGCTACATTATGAGGAAAATGTGATGCATGCTCAGGCCTCTTGTTTTCAGAAGATGGATGTTAAAACTGATGTCTTCTTGATGGTTTCTCTCAGACTCCCTGCTGAAAGAGTGTAGGCTACATGTCTCTTTCCTTTGTACTTCCACCACCAGATAAGGACATTTTTATTTAATTAGACCTTCACGATATTAGCTGCTCTGCTTTTGAAATGGGTCTAAATGGTTGGGTGCTGCCTGTGTCTTTCATTGTTGCATTTTAATTGTGTTTTTGAATACTGTATATTTGTCTTAAATTTTATGTTATGTTTTCAGTCAAGTTTTTTTTTTTAATCTAGACTCTGTTACTGTTTGCTTTCCCAAGCAAACTATGTTTGGAGTAGAAAATTAAAGAAGGAATCAATAAATAGATGCATAATAATAAATTACAAACATATACAATCTATTTTAAATGTTTTATAGCCACCTTGGATCCCTGGTACAGAGAGAAAAGTGGGATATAAATCAAGCAAACAAAAAGTAAATATGAAACACTAAGAAAATCCTTTAAGTTCCATGCAGAGTCTATCCCAATGTTTGTGTGTGCAGATTTCTATCCTCTGAGCCAGTTCTGGGAATCCTGCTGCCTCACTGAGAGTAAATCCATATCAGTGAATGGTAGTAACATCCACAAAGTTGGCTAGAGTTTAGTGGTTGCTTAAAGAGTTTAATGGCCTGAAGGAGTTGTGTGAATAGGCAGTATATATATACTGCCTATATATACTGTATATATATACTATATATATACTGCCATATATATATATGAAACAAGGGGGGAAAGCAGTAAAAGGAATATTGCTTACAAAGGAGAAGTCTTCAGCATTCTGGCAGAGTAGCTTGGGAAAAATAGCTTGTCTCTGAAATCTTTCCTCCTCTTCAAAAATGTTCCCATACATAAAGCCATTCATCATAGTGGAGTGAGCATGGATGTCGATATAGAATTCCAGGGTAACTTTCTGTCAAGGAAATACACATACATAAGATAAATTGAAAATGTATTTCAACTGGGAATCCATCTATAAAAGCAACAATGCCATCCTGAAAATGAAAACATTCAGGGACAGGAATGCAGGGGCTAGAATGAAGACAGCACAGTATACCAATTAGAGATTGCTTCAAGTCTTTTTCAAAGTGGCATATGCAGACTTAAAACTGACACTCCCATACAGATGTTTATCCTTAAGATCTTCTCTCAACTTCTCTCATGCTCAGATGCAAATTTTACCTTCTTCCCCAAGAGGATTACATGATTTATCCTACCTGGAAACATCTACAGAAGAGGAAAAGAAGGACTTGATTCTACTTCTCTAACAAATAAGAATTCTAGAATTCAGTTTACCTAATCCCTTTATCTCAGACCATATCAAGTAACCTGAGGAGTTAATTCACATCTTTATTCTTCAGATAAGAATCCCCACCCCACCCCCCAAAAAACTTGCATTTCCAAATTCTGTCCCCTCTCTGATTTGGACTACTCTTTCTCCAGTACTGTGAAGAAAACAAAACAAAAAAAACCTGACACTTGGATTGTGATTTCTATTGTTTCTAAATGTGATTTCTATTGTTTCTATTGTTCCACTTTGCTTCTGTTTGCCCTCGCTCCCAGAATGCCCTCTAACTTTGTAGCCCATGAACAAGGTGCTAAGGTTTGGGGGTCATTTCAGCCAAGGAGATGGCATGAAGCAACACAATAATATGTCTCACCCTGCGGCATAAATTTTGCTAGTTTGTATCTGTGCCCATTGGCTACTTGAGCTCTCTGGTTTTGTGGGAAATGCAATGGTTCTAAAAATGTGTAAAATAATCAGGTGGCACCACAGCCTTTGTTTACTTATCCAAAATGCTGAGGAATACATTCATCATCTCAATTAATCATCCGCATTTCCTTTGAGAATATTCCTACCTTGATACTTCCTAGCTTCTAGCCAGAACACAATTAGAATAGTGGGAAGGGACCAACTATCAAGCAATCTTTCACTATTCTATGTGTTCCTTTTTTCTGAGTCACTTTTAATAATGATTATGATTATATATTTAAAAAGGAACTACTGTACTATTCTTCTCATTCATGCATCCTGCAAAGACAGTGTTAACAGAACACAAATATTTGTGGAAGATTATTGTTTGGAACTAAAAGGTGCTCTGCTGGCCTTATGTGAGGGTTCAGGATTAACCTCAGGCTGATCAGACACAAACACAGGATGCTCAGATTTTTGAAAAAGAGAACTGGGGTTTATTAGAACATCAAATAAAGAAGTATCAACATTAAACTTGTCTTGGTTCTTATCTCTCATCGCCAACGGGTCAAACGAGGGTGTCCATAAATCTTGTAAGAAAGGATTGTAACTTGGATCATACCAGGGTCCTTTGATGAAAGGGTTGGCATCACCCTGGTCTTTATTGTCAATGTCCACCTCAATCAGGGGTAATGTTTCCTCATCTCCCCTCTCATGTTCAAAGGGGTCGATTTCCTCTGCATAGGGGTCCCAAGGTCCGGTAAATTCCTCCTCCGGCAAGCCTCCTCCAGACGCCATGCCCTTCTTTCATGTTCTTCCCTTTCTACCACTTCTTTCTCCTCTCTCAAGCACCTCCGCCACTCTCTGGCCTCGGATTCCCCCCCAATAAGACGGCTTGTGAGGCAATCCCCTTCTCCTGTAATCAGCCTCCTTTCAAGGCACTCTCACTTTCTCGCACCTCCCTGTCCAGGGATCCTCAACTCATATTAGTTCCCAACCCCCGGGAATGGTGTCTTGGTCCCCTTTTATATCCCTATGTCCCGCCTCTACCAACGGTTGCTACCAATGGAGCGGGAATGGTGTCTTGGTCCCCTTTTATATTACCCCATGTCCTGCCTCCACCAATGGTTGCTCCTTCACCCTTGTTCCTGCCTTTTCTAGTCCTGTCTGAGTGGCCACCGACAGTCTCGTCAAACCCTGTTCCAAGTCACAGGTGTCTATTCCCTGGTACTTGACCGCGACGTGGGTAGCCGTAGATTCCGTTTGGGTCTCCTTCTCTCTCTTAAAGGAGGATGACACTCCAGCGAGCACTTCTATAGCCTCGCCTCGGGTCTCGCACCTTATAATGGCCAATGGCAACAGAGTTATTTATTCTACTATTCTACACTTGCTTTGCACTCCATACTGCTTGTATTCACTGTGTCACAACAAGATATGAAAATGGAAGGCTATTTTGGAACATGGTGGCAGAGCTGAATTAAGCTAAACAATGTATCCCACCCACCCCAAAGAAAAATAATATATCCTGACTTTACATCTCATCTATAAAAAACCATTTTATATAAAATAAAAATATGATTTATCAGGTATAATTACTATAAGGCATTGGTCAGCAGATTCCAATGAATATGGTGGTGTCCTTCCATTCATGGAAGCCTCTTTCTGTTAATACAAGGAAACCACTGGATGACTTGGTACCTTGCTAAAGCTGAACAGACAATGTTGTTCATGCAAATAGGGGTGGATCCAGATTTAGTCATGTACAAAACTGGGTTTCTTTAAATGGGCTTCCCCATCAGCTTCTTCCCATGGGACCCCCTGCAGTCCCCTGAATATGATGCATAGGAGGAGATCAAAGGATTCTGCTGAACAGGTGATTGGTGGGGGAGTGAAAATTACCCACTTCAAAAGGAAGAGGGACCTTCTGCAAATGCAGCTTTTCTACTAACAGTTTGTTGAAACTGCTGCCTAGAGTTTGCTTGTTAGCAATAAACCAAAATGTATGGAAGCAAGTGGCACTGCGATGATTTAAGAATAAAAACCATCTTCAGACCTATTTGCTCTACACAGTGAGGTTAGGGAACACTGCATGCACATCCACATCCTCTTCCTACTTTTAGCTGTCATATGATCAGGCAGAACATATACATATAACGTTTAGCTGTCATAAGTCATTGTTTCCAATCAGGTGAGAGAGATTAAGGGACAAGAAGGGAAGTGGCAAACTGCAGGAAAACAGAGCTGAGTGTGTCCGTGCAGTTTGTCCTAAACCATCCTAAGTCCATCTCTGTCAGGCATGGCGGACAATGCTGATCCACTAGCACTGATGAAGTAAGAGTCAAACACCACGAATGTGGAACTGGAAATAGGAACCATTGGGTTCTCAGTGTCAGGCATCGAAGTGTCTTGAACTAGTCTTGTTTGCAAACCATGTCAAACCAAAGTCCTACTAAGCTGGTCTTCCTTCCTTCCTTCCTTCCTTCCTTCCTTCCTTCCTTCCTCTTTCTTTCTTTCTTTCTTTCTTCCTTCCTTCCTTCCTTCCTTCCTTCCTTCCTTCCTTCCTTCCTTGTTTGTTTGTTTGTTTGTTTGTTTGTTTGTTTGTTTGTTTTATATCCTGCTCATCTAGACTGGAGTCTATTTTGCCCATTGAAACGAAGTCTGAAACTAAAATGTGTTGCTGAACCAAAAAGAAAACAAAAGTTGAATTTTTGAGACATTACAGAATAGGGTATCTCAGGCCCTGACTTCATTCTTCAGCTTTTTAATCCTTTTCTTGTGCATGTCATGTAGTATTTGGTTCCCTTCTACATTTCCATTTCATAAGTAAAATGTTTTTGGAAGATCATTAATTAAACAGCCCAAGGAAAAACGATACTAACAGCTAATGCTCCTATGACAGTAGTTTATGTCCCAGTGCAATTACGTTTTTTAAGCACAGAGCTTTTTTAAAAACAAATCAATAAAAGCTATAAAACAAAAAAAGAAATAAATGTATATGTAGCCCCAAACATAGGCCACTAGAGAGGAAAGCAGGGTAAGGAAAGGTAGTTCTATCAACCAGCTGTCACTTCAATACGGATTTTATTAATTCTTGACTATAATACTGAACTTCCTTTACCCAGATACTGAGAAAGAAGTGGGGAGGGGGAAGTTATCATTCTTACTTCTCCTTCTAGAATATTCAGTGCATTGAGTTAACAATATACCTCACTTGACAGTTATTTTCCTTTGAACAAAAGAGAAAGTAGGTAGAACACAAGGTTAGTGCTAAATGTGATTTAGACAGTGTTTTTCTTTTTAAACTATTTTCCTATGCATTCTGCAAAGCATTATTGTACCCTACAGTGCTCAGTCTTCATGGTCCATGAAGTCATGGTGATAGGAAATCAGGATTATCCAATATGAGCAAGAATTGACTGTAAATAAAAGATATATTCTATTACCTATCACTGCCATAAAAGAACAACTGTCTCCATGCAAAAAAAGGATGAATACTGAGATTATTATTGCCCATTAACATCTGCACATAACGAAAAATCTAGTCAATGGCAGTTCTTCATATGAACATAATATGCCATGTTGCTTTAGCTTGTTAACTCTAAGAGGTAAGTACAGCATATATCATGGCTTTCGGATATAACGATAGGAGCACACTATACATAACTAGGTTTAATTAATCTCTGACCATTTTAATTTAATAAAAACAAGTCTTACAAAGCTGCCATTTTGGGTGGAAGGTCAGCTTTAGCCATTCTCTGGTATTTCTCTGCTCAGACTGACTGCTTTTTGCTTTCAAGATTCTGAATGAATGTGCATTTGGGAAACCTCTCAACTAGTCTCTGAGGTCAGTTATTTTTTTTAGTAACCCCCATGAATCTACAAATAAATTTGTTATTAATTGTTCATGGGGGCAACTTTGTGCTTTGTGAGTCGTCACCTTTTGATGACTCACGAAGCAGGACTAGTTGCCAAAATGATCATAACTAGAGATGGAGGACTAGTTGCATAAAGTTGGTTTACTGTGATGTTGAAAGGTCTGCCTTGGATTCCTATTGAAATCATTCCATCATTTTTGAGATTGTATCCCAGTATAGCTTTTCCAAGTCTTTTGTTGATTATGAGGGGTATTTAATTTCTTCTACAGGATTCTTGCCCACAATAGTAGATATGGTAATCGTCTGAATTGAATTCGCCCATTCCTGTCCATTTTAGTTCACTGA